GGTATTTATTGATCTTCAAAAAGCGTATGACAGTGTTCCATTAGCCAAGCTATGGCAGGTGCTAGAAGACAAGAATATTCCACCGATTTACATTAATGCTGTAAGGGAGTTGTACGATGATATGACGAGTGTAATAAAGATTGGACAAAAAGTGACAAAAAAGATAAAAGTGACCAAAGGACTTCGCCAAGGCTGCTGCATTGCACCTACACTCTTTAAGATTTATTTGGAGGGGGTTTTGGATATTTGGAAAAGAAAATGTGAATCTATGGGTGTTAAAATTGGAGACCATACACTGTACAGCTTGCATTTTGCTGGTGACCAAGTAATACTTGCAGAAGATTAAGATGATATCCACTACATGTTACGAAAAATAGATGAAGAATATACTAAGTGGGGCTTATCAATTAATCCATCAAAAACAGAGTACGTAGTAGTGGGAGGTGAAGGAAAGCACTTAGAACTAGGAAGCAAACAAATTCAAAATACTGATAGCTATAAATATCTCGGTGTAAACATTACAAACAATGGTCGGAATACAAAAGAAATAGCTACTAGAATTGGTCAAGGAAATTCAGCAATACGTCAACTGAATAGTATACTTTGGAATAACCACATCACCCAAAACACAAAAATTAGGATATACAAAAGTATCATAGAAAGCATTCCTACATATGGTTCAGAGCTTTGGGTAATAAATAAAAATGACTCATCCAAAATAAAAGCAATGGAAATGAATTATTGGAGAAGATGGTGCCAACTCACTAGAAGAGATAAAGTAAGGAATACTGAAATCAGAGAGCGTATGGGCATAGACATTGACGTCATGGAAACTATAGAATGCAAAAGGCTGAAATGGTATGGCCATGTAGAAAGACCAAGAAGATCGTGGAGACAAGAAGTAAAAGGTGTAATGGAAGATTGGGGTCTACAAGTAGAAGACTGGAACGAACGCAAGCGTTGGAAGCTAGGTTGCGAGAAACGGCGGCAGCTGTAATAAACTCGTTATAAAAAAGTATACTGTTACGATAAAAATGTCTCATAAATATTCTTTCTAATTCTTATATGTTCTAGATTTTACCTGATGGTAGAAATTATAGGTAATACCTACCTGAAACGATGGGTCCCCCTCCGATATAAAAACAGCAACCAGCCTGACTGAGCGCCCCTTCATCGAGATCATTCGGCGCTCTGTCTGTTGTGGGATTTTCCTTCTATATTAGTCGAGAAGGTCGACTAATATAGAAGTCCGGTTGATACGGATGTGTATGGAACGGTTACGATGTAAGGTGAGAGTTGGACAACAATACTCGGAGACATTTGAAATAAACAATGGACTAAAACAGAGAGATGCACTTTCGCCACAACTCTTCAACTTAGCTCTGGAGCACATAATCAGAAGTGCAAGAATCGAAAAACCGAATACAGTATTTCATCGAGAAGGACCAAATTTACTACTGGCATTTGCAGACGATATAGATCTAATAGGAAACACGCGATTAAGGATGAAGGAGACTTTCGTAAGGTTTGAGAAGGAAGCAGAGAAGATGGGGCTCCAAATCAACGAAAACAAGACGAAATATATGTATATGAGCCGCAATAACCAAAGCAGAGACAGAATCGGTCAGAACATTACCATCGATGACTTTAACTTTGAGCGCGTTAGAGAATTGAAGTATCTTGGAACAACAATAACTGAAGACAATAACGGATCACAAGAAATAAACAACAGGATTCAGGCCGGCAACAGATGTATTTTTGCCCTCCAAAACCTTATAAAATCTACAAAAACAACTAACACGACGTACGAAGATACAGGTCTATAAAACAATCATACGATCCGTTGTGATGTATGGAAGCGAAACTTGGACGATAACAAAGGCAAATGAAGAGAGACTACGTGTTTGGGAAAGAAAAATCCTAAGGAAGATCTTTGGTCCGGTGCTTGATGAAGCATCAGGACAATATAGGATAAGAACTAATAAAGAGCTTGAAGAACTTTACCCAGACGCCAACATCATAAAAGAAATTAAGTCCAGAAGACTCCAATGGGCAGGACACCTCAGAAGACATTCTGACGAACAAACAGTAAGACTGGTGTGGGAGGAAGTCCCAACTGGAAGGAGACCACGCGGACGCCCTCGTCTCCGGTGGCGAGATAATATAACAGGAGACCTAAGCACTATGGGCGTGGAGAATTGGATGGAGGTTGCTCAAGACAGAAAACAGTGGAGGCATGTTGTCGAGTCGGCTAAAACCCACGAAGGGTTGTAACGCCACGGAGTAGTAGTAGTAGTACATATTATATCTCATCTGGACCTGAGGCCTTTCGTGGCTTTGCCGTATTGATTGTTTTTGTAACTTCGTATGTTAATATATCAAGTATCGTGTCTTGTACTATATTCATTTGTGGTTCTGTTCTCTCGTCATCAAACAGATTTTCGATGTATTTTTTCCCATATATTTCCTACATTTTCTGGGCTAGATACTATTTGGTTGTTTTCATCTACTAGAGTTGTTGTAGTGAATTTTTTCTTCATATTTGTGACCTCCTTTATCTTTTTTTATGTATTGAAGTATTCATGTTTTTTTAGTAATTCCCCTCTCACATCTGCAATTTTTTCGAGGCTAGGATTTATCTTCTCCCTGCGTTTGATTTTCTTCAGTTTAATTGAGATTTTACCGATAACAGGATTGTGGTCGGAACCGATGTCTGTCCCGGGATATGTTTGATCTGCCCTGATTCCATTTCTATAACGCTTGTCAATTAATATATAATCAATCTGGTTTCTTATTATGTGGTTTTGATTATCTCCAGGTGCTTTCCATGTAGGTACCTATTGTGTTACTCAAAATAAAATAAAATGGTCATAAACATTTCTTTCTAATTCACGAACTGATGATTTTAGACTAGGTATATAGTGTCTTATGTTTTTGAAATTTTTTTAAAGCAAATTTCAAAAACGAAAAAAGAATATTATCGTTCAATTTGAAAAATCATCGATGACATCATCTACATGAAAATGGTGACGTCATCAGTGTTTCGAATGTCCGAGAATTTCGTCAAAACATTTTTAGTTACAAAAATATTGAATTTATGTAAACCGTTACGTCCTCACTGTATATTAGAAATTATACTGTTATAAAAAATAGATACTGTCGTAGATTTTGAAGTAACAACATTGGAACTGAACGGTAAAAGAACATTGCAGGAACATTTATATATTTCTGAAGAGGTCTTACTATTTACCGATAAAGAATAATAAAAAATAATTGTAAATAGAACAATCCCCTTTTAAGAGATAAGGTTCTAATACAAAAAATTTTGATTAACAGGAAATAAGAAAATTGAGTGTTTAGTATAAAAATCTTGGGGCATAATAAACCATTTTTATTATTAAAAGTAGAGTAAACACAACACTCATTTTAAAAAAACTTTCCAAGTAAATGATAACCAAAGACTTAGGAAACTGGAATACCTATTTACTGACAGATTCTAGCATTATAAAAATAAGATTAAAAATATTAGGTATGTGTATATTTATCATCGAGCAATAAGACAAAAGAGGGAATCTAATCCTTATGAAAAGGAGACCAAAAAAGTGGCCTCTGATGGCGGACATATCCGGAAATGCGAATGCGCGAAATTTAAATTTTCCGACACTTATCAACAGTAGCTATATAATATTTTTCAAAATGTGTCTTAGACGAGAAAGTTTTAATTAATTATTAATGATAAGAGTCTAAAATGCGACACAATTGTTAAAAAACTTCAATATAAATAAGATTTCATGTGACATTTGGGATAAACAATAACATAACCCAACTAAATTTGATGTCAAACAAGGAGAGGTACTCTCTTTCCTTGTTTAAAGTGGCCTCTAAAGATCGCACTTCCTGTCTAACAATATGTTTGCCCCCACTACCTTTACATTCCCTCTATTGTCTTTTTGCTCGATGATATTTATGCACACATAATACATTTGTTTAATATTAGTGCTTCTATTTAAAATTAGGACAAGAAGCTACTATTCGTGACATATTCTATAATCTTTTCTTAATACGACCATCGCTCATCCTGTCGGGATTTAAAACAGACGAAATATGCATAGCAGGCTCCCCGCTTTATAATCGCTAATGATGTCACTTCCGCCAAATGAAGCAATAAATTTTAAAACTAGAGTAAATTAATAGAATGAAAAATGTTAAATTGCTGGTAACCCAATTATTTTTTTGTGTGCATATATTGATTTTTCTATTTATGGAATGTTTCAAATGGAAATATAAATTAAGGATAAGGTTTTCTTATATTTATTTAGGAATAAAATTAAATATGAACTATGCTAAAGCTTTAAAATTCTTTCTACATATTTTGGTTCGTGAAATAACATGTAATGTTTCCAAATTCAGTGTAAATTTATGCAAAAAAAAATAAACACTAAAAAAGATATCCCTATTCTTCGTTTTTCTTTAGACGTAGGTATGCTAGACTTAATATGATATACAGCTACAGTTACATTCGGACTAATTTTGTTTTATAACCATCTCTTTATAGTTGAAATGCATTTAATATAATTAAATTTAAAATAGTTTTTACATCCCTTTATCTACGATTTGTAAATTATAAGATAAATGAATTGTTACAACACGTCATATAATATCATTTCAAATTTGCCGCTACATCGCAAAGCATAAAATTTGTTTTCCTACTAAAACTTACATAATAATTTATCAATTTTCAAGATAAATTTGTGTTTAAGTGATTTGATTTCGTAAAAGTTTGCACGAATTCATTGTTAAAAAGCAATAACACTGGTAATAAAAATTTCAAAATAAAAATAAGCATAAATTGATGACTCATCTGGGGAAATTTACCTTTATTATGTTCAGGAGAATGACGTAAAAAGTAAGGACAGGCGCAGTTTTCGTCGGGATTCGTTCGGCCGATCCCCTCTCAGTCTTTTCGGGTGCTCCATGTTTCTCGTTTCACAGTGCGGACCCGAGAATTGCACAAAGCGCAATGTATGTGCGCCATTGCTGTGGAGAAGAGCTACGAAAAGTTCTATCAAAGTATATTCGGTTTTCACGTTACAAACCGACTTTAAATGCAGAATAACGTAACAGAATTAACACACAGATTGCTACGTTCACTGGACAGTAATTATAATGTAAGAAAATGAGAGATAAATTGGTTTTTTCGTGAAATTTTAGTTCACCATTACAGTATTCATAAACCAGGTGGACTGTACTAGCTAAATACGTTTACCCTAGTGTGACTAATAAATATTCATATCAATATTTAATTGTATTTAGTATTTTTCAATTCTCTATCATTTAAATTAATGATTTAGAACGTTTTAAGAGATTTTTTCTCAGAATAAGTTAAATTTCGCAACGTCAAAATGTTGTTTTACATAAGACATTTAAGTGATGAATAATCTGCAAAATTGCTATTAAAACCACATTCAAATAACAAATTATTTTTTAAAAGTAATGTATTTGTTTGTATTTTGTTTATATTTAACATTCACCAACAATTTGAAGCCATTTTTCAATATGATAAGTTTGTGAGGTGCCACCAGTACAGTCTACCACATAGTGTTCTTCGCGAATATAGTCAAGATATTCCAATTAATTTACACGTTTATTTTAAGGTCATCGATATGCCTGCAGTCATTGAAATCATATCCCTATTGGAAAAAGTGGCTATTACCAAAGAATTATTGGAGGTGAGAATGTTTATACCTATTTTTCATAATTTTGTTAACTTTGATAATCAGTTATGTTCATGTAATAACCATGTGAGTATGGCTTAGCAAATTATAAATATATGTTCAAACCTGTTGTGTAAATGATAATTTTAAAAATAAAGGTTGTAAGCACATTTCTTAAGATATATTACTAAAGATAATATGAATACTGCCAGAGTAATGTTTACCTAGGAAGATATTTAATTCCATTTCTTACTCAACAAAATGCAACATGTTTGTCTCAAGTTTCAGTAATTTTAATGCAGATCAACTAAATAAATAGGCATTTATGAAATATCTTAATATTGTTGACACCCATCAAATATAAATTGGTATATAAAAAAGTAAAATCAATGTGGGGCCAAATTGCAGGTACACAAGTTATTACTTATTTTTTATCATAGGTACCTAATCTTAATTAGGACATTTGTTTACCTTAATTTTTATATTGTAGTTCAACATAATTTGTATTGTATATTTGTTGATAATGAACAATTATTTAGTATTAAGACAGTCTGTTTTTTTTTGTTAAATAATGTGTTAAAAATCTATACAAAAACAAAATAAATATCTTAACATGTCATCTTTATCTTACACCCCATCAGTAGACTTGTATTTAACTGATAAATTAATAAATATTTAACATACAAGTAAAATAAGAAGTGTATCTTTTTACAGTCCATAATATTTTGGTGCCTATATGGTTAATGAGCCACTTGCTTCTAGAAACTTTGATTAAAATATGCTGTTGGTTCAGTATATCTGTTTTTTTCAACAGCCTCAATAGTTGTTAAAAATCTCTTAAGTTTAGTAATGTTGTTTAATATATAAGACAACAAAATTGAAGAAAGTTAACTCCTAAAATTCCAATTCAGATCAAAAGCCATTGTCAAAGTACAGAAACAATCAAATAAATTAAGAGCAGATGGAGTTCTTTGACATTTGTTTACATTTGGATGTACTATTAAAAATGACACCTCCGCTTATTATAACTGATCAATATAATGGATATATGTAGTAGGTTCAAATTATTTAATTTTTTAAATAATTAATCAAATCAAATTATTTAATTATTTAAAGTGATATGTACTTTGCTTTATATCTCAAAATATCTAAAAAAAATAAATACCCATTACCTACTGATATCATATTATGATAACAAAAGCAATATAACTATTTAATTCTGCCTTCATTTGCCCTAGTCTGCCTTCTACATACTAATAATGTGGACATTTTATCACATTTATTGAAATATGACTGAAAACTGTCGGCAATCAAAATAAGTTGATCATTATTTTGTGTACATTCTTGGGATGACATTTTTTAAACTATTTGTTTAATAGAACAAGCTCATCCAGCAAAAAGACAAAAGAGGGAATGTAAAGGAAGTGGGGGCAAAAATATTGTTAGACAGGAAGTGCGATCTTTAGAGGCCACATTAAACAAGGAAAGAGAGTCTCTCTCCTTGTTTGACATCAAATTTAGTTGGGTTATGTTATTGTTTATCCCAAATGTCACATGAAATCTTATTTATATTGAAGTTTTTTAACAATTGTGTCGCATTTTAGACTATTACTGTTAATAATTACTAAACTTTCTCATCTAAAACACATTCTGAAAAATATATAGCTACTGTTAATAAGTGTTGGACAATTTAAATTTGGCGCATTTGCATTTCTGGATATGTCCGCCATCAGAGGCCACTTTTTTGGTCTCCTTTTCGTAATGATTAGATTCCCTCTTTTGTCGTTTTGCTCGATGAACAAGCTAAAGTCCTAATATAACAAAAAAAAGATTGTGTTGTTCCCAAGATAATCTGACCTGCCTAAACTAAATTTTAAAAATATGATGGTATTTAAAAAGTTTTAATAGTAATAATAAAAGCTAAAAAACACGGTCAAGAACAGTTAAAAAGCATCTTATGAAGAAGTTGTGGGCATGAGCTCTTTGTGCAGAGATTGTTGTAAAATATTGCTTAGTCACTTTACTTGTTTTCATGTTTAGGTTTCAACACACTAATCTAATAATGTTTAGGGATCAAACACACTAATAAGTCTTGATGTATTGTTCTGAAGCTATTTTCTTGTGGCATTGTAAATTAATTACTATTTATAACTGGGAATAAGCCACACTTAAAGATAAAAATACGTTTATTGACGTTTCAATTTCCAATTCGGAAATCGTTCTCAAAATACAAACAGTAAATTGTAAATTTACAATTTACTGTTTGTATTTTGAGAACGATTTCCGAATTGGAAATTGAAACGTCAATAAACGTATTTTTATCTTTAATTGTGGCTTATTCCCAGTTATAAATAGTAATTAAGTCATGATGTATACAAAATGAGTTATATAAAATGCTAATTGAAGAATCAGAAAATTTCTTGGAACATATTTTAACACATTGCCTGCCGCCTCTGTCTATTTGACTGAGAAAAAATTACCCTGCACGCCAGCGAGGTCTACCAAGAATTGTAACATGCCTGTGGTGCCATCTCAGTCAATGTGACTGAGACGTTACATTGGACGGCACATATAATATTTTCGCAATTTTTTTTTTTGTAAGAAGAGGAATTTTGAAAATTTTTAAACATGAATCATTACAGGCTATATAAAGGTACCTTCTACTATGATACTATGTCTATATGAGCGGTAAATTTTTCAACCATATAGCAGAAATGGCCTTGGCGTGAAGGGAAAGTATTTGCAAATTCCTCTATGGCAGGCAATGTGTTAATAAAGCATAGTATTTCAAGTGCTTTTGATAATACACTAAAAATATTAGGTCAGAAAAGTAAGACAATATCTAAATCACACATATCTTTAATATATGTTATTGATTCCTTATTGGTAATTATGTGATATGGGTAATTAAACACTACTATATTAAATTTCTTGTTATTCAAATCTTCATTGTTAAAACTACACCAATTAACATAGCTGTCTAAATCAGATTGAAGTTTAAGTTCATGTCATCAGCAAATAAAAAGAAGCTACGATATCAACAGCAGTGCAGAATATCATTTATTATAAATGAAGTATTTATTTCACTTACTGCCTTCCTAAGTAACTTGAATTAGTAAAAGATGGTAACTATGGGTAAGGGTGGGTCGAAAAACAATGATGTTTCATTTTTTAATTGCTGTACTAAAGATACTAAAAATAATTGAAAAATGTCTTTATTTCTGAAAAAAATCTAAATTTTATGTATGTTGCGCTAGCTGGGGGTTTAATATATAACTTTATTTTACTTATATACCCCAAATCAAGTTTGCCTCTGTATAGTGATTAAAAAATGAAATATTATTGTTTTTCGACCCATCCTAGTGCATAATGCTTTGAATTTTGAGTTTAGTGCTTATTATTAAAGGTAATTGATCAGTAATTACCTGTGGCAGCTGGAGATCATTTTGTTCAGGGGGCACTGATTTGTGAATACAAAAAAATAAATAGGTACTTACCAAAAGTCTACTTCTTAAAATGAAACGCAATCCTTCTGCTTTTAAGTCAGATGAACCTTTCCATCACCTTTTTGTTGAAATTAGAAATTTCTCCTACTTTGTTTTTTTCTATGGACAACATGGCAAGAGCTGTCAGTCTTTCTTAGTATTCTGTAGAAATATCTTGCTCAATTTTACAGTAGTGAAATATATTTCAGTTTGTGGAGGTTTCATTGGTATTGTTATTGAAATAATCAAAACTTTACTTATTTCACAAAATTTTGAACCAAACCATATGACACTATTAAATTACCTAAGTACCTAAACAACCAATTATATTTTCATTTGCTTGTGATATTTCTGGACGCGAGTATAATATTGCCAGTTACAATTTCAGGGAAATCACAAGTTTCTTTCACACATAAATTCAAGTTTCTGATGTTAACAACTATTTTTTCCAAACTGTTTCAATTTTTGCAGTTTGTTAAATAATGTTTCAACATGTAGCATTATTTTTTAAAAGAAATCAAAACAGTACTAATGTAGGACAATTAAACTGTTTGAACAAAACCGACAGCTTGAACAGTGATATCTGTGTTATATATTTTAGGATTTCCTCTCTTAATATTTTCAATATATTCCAGGATGCTGTCTCAATTTTCAAATACGGTTTGTAGTAGACTGAAAATTTATTGTTGTCTCTAGACTGAAAATTCCAATGTGTCCATACAATTCATAAAACCATTGTTTTATACCAAAAAAATTGCAAAAAAGATACCTATCCAGCAGTTTTAATATTACACTTAGGTCTAGATGGGTTAAATGCCTATTAGGAAATTTTCTTCCCTATTTTCTCCCATGAATGAAAGTTTTTGTTAAATTAATTTAACTAATAAAAATTTAATTAGTAGTTATTTGTATGATTACGTTAAGGGGGGGGGGTTCAATATTTTAACACATTGCCTGCAGTCTCGCTCTATGTGACGGAGAAAAAAGTGCCCTGTCTATTCACCGAGAATTTTAATGTAACTGTCGGCTCGGTCACTATGGGGTGAACAGAAAGTATTACAAAATCCTCTAAACAATGCGTTAAACATATTTTTTTTTTGTTAAACATATTTTTAAGATTTTTTTTGAAAAATTCTTTGATATCAATTTATTTATAATATTAGTACGTTATAGTACAACATTTTAAGAGTATTAGCTGAAATTTTGGTACAAATATATTAAAAATCAAGAAAATGACAGCTAATTTTCCAAGATAAAAAAGTTACTTTGGGGTGCTCATCTGCTACAAAAATTCAAAAATATTTCTTTAGTTTATGAGTTTTCCTAGGTCCCAAGATCGAGTTATTGTTTATGTTATCGTTATTTACAATTTCAGAATTAAAGAAAAGACGAATTTTTTTATTTTATAAAATTTTTTGTTCAAATTTGACTTGTAAAATTGATTATAACAACAAAGTGGACAATATCTCAATGTTGCGACCTAGTAATTTATCAATAAAAGAACTGTGCAAAATTTGGGAAGGATAGTCA